ATGAAAATTTGATGTAAAAAGTATAAAATAAAAAATAAGTATAATATAAAAAAACTCTGTCTCTAAATACTTTAAAATTTGATACTGATTGCATAGTTTAGTTTTTTTATTTAAAATATTTTCCAAGGAATTATCGTAAACCTATGCTATAGCTGTTACACTGTAAGGTATACATTCAAGATGTTACACGGTTTGGAAGTAAATTCATTGATTTTTTAGTGGTACCGATATTTACATACAGATTTATTTTTTCGTACTCATGACAAAACAAATTGCCCGATTTTAAACTATAGAAAAAATAAAAAAATCTGAAAACATACAGATTTTATATTACGCAAAAAGGAGCGGTTTTTTAACGTTTTCTGCGATATCTTTATTTATGAAATATCATGTTCTTCGCACTTAAGCCAAATAAAATTCACTTCAACAGCAATATCACGAAATATTTAAACACAACATATCTTTAGAATTTCCGATACAAATTCTCGCGGGCTAGAGATAATTTTTTTTCCTGTACAGTTTTGCCATTGCTCTCTTTGAAATCTTTTTTTTTTTTTTTTTTTTTTCTGGTACAGTTTTGCCATTGCTCACTTTGAAATCGTTGAGTTTGTTAATCAAAAATTCGTCAAAGTTTTAGAAAATATAAAATAGATAATAAAATGAATTCGAAATTTAAAATTTGGGCATCCAGGTACCCATGTTCGGGTGGAGGATTAAGTTATTCAAAATTTGTTGGCTCTAGATACCGCTGTTTTTTCGCAATACATACATTCATATCGATTCTTTATTATTTAATTTCTTTAAATATAATAGAGGGAGATAATATTTGGTGGCAACAATTTAAAAAGGTGATTTGCTGTTTATAATGAAACTCCACAAAATGCCCTTTTAGGATTAATAACTCTTCTGAGTTAACGGTCCTTTGATTTGTTAATAGGAATAGACTTTTCTCATTATTTTTGAGGATCATTTCAGGTCAAAATGTGTACCGTGAACTACAATTTATGAATTAATGGTTGTAGTTCATTGTAAAACGCATCATTTAAAATGAAACAGATTGATATGATCCGTATATACGAGTACACTTTTACAGACAAAATTCCTAACTTAAGATAGCATGAATAATTCACCATCAGTAATGATAATATAAATGTTTCCCGAGCTTCTAAATAACAATGGACGTGTTCCCGTGTTTTTGCAACAATCAAAGTGCTCTTCATACTGCATGTACCCAAAAATAAAAATGAAAATTTGTACCTTTATGAGAGCTGTCAATCATTTTTGAGCAACTTATGATTACTGTGCTATCGTTTATCAACGGATTACTTGACCTTTACGGTTATCATTATGTTTATTTCGTGTTTAAGTTGAAGATCACTGCCGAAACGAACTTTGTACTAAACTGACCGTGACTAGCACTTATTACTATAGTTTCTTGAGTTTTAAGATAACATATGAAACAAGGTGATTAAAATTATTCTATACAAGGCGAGAAATGTTTTAGGTATTTATTTAGGACTTCGAGTAGGCTTTTCGTTTTTTAAGAACACTTAATTATCGTAAGTAAAAAGGTTTTAAATTTCTTGTATTAATTCATGGCGAGAAGTTACATAAAATGCTGCCTGATAAAAATATTTAAATCTTTGTAACGATTTTGTAAATTAGCGATTTGCGATATAGATTAGTACTTGGATAAGTTCTACATATAATAAAAGAAAGAGTGTGTCTTTCGTTCATGCTGCGCGTAAGCCATCAGACCCAGGGCTACGAAATTTGGTATATAGGTGCATCTAGACAAAAGCCAGTGCATCTCGAAGGGATTTTTTTTTTTTTTTTTTTTTTTTTTTTCAAAATTCGAATGAGATCTTTTTTATTTTATCTTTTCGACTTTATCGCATCATTTTGAATAGTTCGCTCTTTCAAATGTGGTTTTGGCAACAGTTTTTCATTCAATTGTATACTGGACTGCTGACTGTTGAAAATCTGCTGAAGACTGCTGAAAAAAAATGAGGGCGATAATTCTCTGCAGTTTTTTAATTTAATATTTCTCTTGGATACTGGATGTTTGTTGAGAGAAGGCAACGGGAAGTGAGTTCATTTATTTATTAGGATAATTAATATTTGTAATAAGGGATATCGCTTATTTCATCGTAATTTTGATATATGTAATACATTTTTTATGAAGTTGTTCTGCAGATTAAAATTCTACGCAATTTTCAAATTTAACGTTTGGTGTCCCCTTCAGACATTTTTCCGGTACATTTAAAAGCCGGACCAAGACTGGCAGCGTAGCTGCTAGTAATTAATAAAAAGGCCTTCAGCTGATCTGGAAAAAAAAAATCTGAAAGGTTTCAGATTTTAAATTACGTCCAAAGGGGCGTTTTTTTAATGTTTTATGTGTTACCTTTATTTATTAAATATCACGTTCTTCGCACTTGAACCATAAATTTCATTTCAACAGCAATGCCGCAAAATAATTTTTAAATGAACCTTTCTTTAGAATTTCCGATACACAGTTCCGCGCGCTGGAGATAAGAAGGTTTTCTTTTTTCCCCGTAGATTGTTGCCATTGCTCGCTTTCAAATCGTTGAGTTTGTTACTCAAAAATTCGTTAAAGTTTTACAAAATATGAAATCGATCATAAAAGAAATTCCAAATTTTAAATTTGGGCTTTCACATGCCCATATTCCCAGTAGAATTACGTCATTCAAAATTCGATGGCTCTATGTACCGTTGTTTTATCACAATGCGAGAAATATACATACATTTATGCAGATTTTTCATTATTTAATTTCTTCAAATATAATACAGGCCTTAGTGGCAACAATTTAAAAAGTGAAACACATTTATAGAGATTCAACGTAAAATCGCAAAACGAAAACAATAGTCCTTCAGGGACAAAGCCCCTTTGGACTAAAAACAAAAAAAGAGATTTGGAAATAGTTTCATTTTTTTTTTTCGTTCGAGTAATATACATGACAAAAAAAATGAAACATTAAATTCGTGTCTTTATTACAGAAATTTTCATTAAAATCTTTAATTAATTATTTATATCGAAATATCAAAACTTTTTTTTTTTTTTTTTTTTTTTTTTTTTTTTTTTTTGCCTGTGAAGCTTTACAATCGAATAAAACGCTAAACAATTTCTTAATATTTTTATTAATGCTCGAGATACTATTACTGATGCATTGCATAAATATCGGATTTCCAGGATATAAAGTAACATATTTTGCTTCCTTCTAAAATTGTTATTTCTTAAGATACAAAAATGACATATATTACTTGTTAAGTAAAAGATGTAAATTTGTTAACATAAATCATGCTATCAGTGAACTTCTCGTAGACCAGCATACCGTAACATGATAATAATTCTTTAGCTATGCATTCTGTAGTTGCACAAGATTTATGGAATGCATTGCTCTAACAATTTTCGCTTGAAGTTTTAATATGTGGTGAAAATAGGAAGCATGTATAGAATGTCTTTGCTCAATCCCCGAGCAGAATAAATCATAGAGGATCAGATTTGGAATCTTAGAAGACCAAAAGCGCAATATACGATAAGTTTGTCCACTTTCCCTAAAACAGCTTTGAGGAGAAGATAAATTCAGATACAAAATAACAAAGGAACATAATCTTTTTTTCGATTAGGTGATCAGACGCGTATTCTAACGCATGGAATACAATTTTCTAAGCATGTAAAATTTTCTTTTCATTTTTTAAATACCTTCCAAACAACGTTTCTTGGATATATTATATATATATTTCTTGGATTCTTTATTTACATAGAAAGATTTCTTGACAGCAAAATATAAGCTTTTTGTTTTCTATTTGGACATAAATTTGCGCTCTCTTATCATTTAGGAAATGCAGCAAAAAGGATATTAATTTTAAGCATTTTTCATTTTATCAAAATTTTATCTTATTACGAAGAAAAGTATATTTAAATTTCTTCTTTTGAATTTTAATGAATTATTTTTTCTGTTAGAATTTTATAAAATATAAAGTGATTGAAAAAAGTGTTATATCAAAAAAAGTGTTACATGATATGAAAAAGTGTTACATCATAAAAATTGTGTATGAAAACGATTTTTTGTTTTGTAAATTTATAAAATAGATAAGAATAGATTAATTATATGCGATGTTAAAATTTGTGTTTCCGTTGCTTAAGTTGGTCTTTCTACTTTTATCGGGCATTAGGAAGCAAAATTGCTTTCTGAATATTTACTAGTTCACTTTATATTTTGAATATCTGCTAGTTTACTTAGAACAAACTTTTGTTAATGTCTGATTCTAACTAAAATGTAAAATACTTTATAGATTGACCATTTTTATAGAATATGATTTCCAAGTTTATAATCTTTATTTCAAAATGCTTAATCTGATCAGAAAAAATGTCATTTAAATAAAACAGAGCGTAAGGAAAACAAAATTGATTGTCGTTGCTGCTGAAGAACTTGCAGCTAAAGAGTTGAATCGCTGAAAGTGCTTCTGTTAAAATAGGTAAGTCAACCAATGTTGTTTTCCTTACACATACTTAATATGCTATTAAAAGAGTTATGTTAGGCAAGATTTATATTAATATTATTTCAAAAATTTAGTTTATTAAGGTACCGAGCGAAAAAGAGAGGTATATAAATTATAAAACGAAAAGAGACAGTTTTCTGAGAAATTACTTGGCAAAACACTAAACACTTATTGCATAGAAACGAAGAATAAATTATTATCCATAAAATAAAAAATCTGAATTTCAGAATCTGTAGTTATAATATGAAAGTATATAAATTGTTATTTAATTTCAGTTGATAGACTTTACTTCAGTAAGAAGCAAAAACCTAAATATTTGATAAAAATATTTGTTTTACAATAAGCTATTCTTCTACCTTAATAAAACTTCAGATATTGAAAAATTTCCATTAGAAAATTTTGAGCGATCTAAATTTAGATAACCTTTATATTTCAAATGTCGCATTAAGACTAATATGGACATATTTTTATTTCAGATTCAATAGGCGATGCTGACATGCTAATATTCAACTTAACCGGCATAAATACTAGTGAGCAAATTCTACAGAGCAAACTATACCTCTTGAAAAGACGAAAGCCGAAACCAGGGAAGAAAAGAGAAATAACGAATTTCAGAATAAAGATCGGTATTCTTCCGAACATGACATTTCATCGATACATTAACTTGTCTTTATCCCGCCAGAGATCTGAGTGGCATTCGTATGATATCACTGAATCAGTAGTGCAATGTAGACAGTCCAAAAAATTCCACGATCATCTCTTAGGACTGACCTTGGAAGGGAAACGTTCTAAAGGAGGTTACAGATTATTATCATTTAGACGTCTTATCAAACTTAATTCTCAACCATTCGTCCTCATATTTTCAGAAGACAACAGAAACAATCAAAGTTCATCGAAAAAAGAAGCAGTGAGCTCTGATCTTGAGATAGGTGAACTTCTGAGGATGAAGGTTGATCAAGAAACTTTCTTTCCAACTTCACTTTCTGAAAGCTCTTCATTGATTGAAGAATTTAAAATCAGGAGGAAGCGTTCAACCAATAGCGAATATTCATTGCTTCAGCACATATCACCTCCAGAGGTATCATATAAAAAGAACCATTTTCTCACTCATCCTCAAAAACAGACTGAGAAAATAAACCTCCTCAAAAGAACTCTGTCTAGAGTACTAAATGCATCCAGTGTAAATACTTTAAAGAATTTTGTCGCGTCTATGTATGGTCAAATTCCTCAGGAAATAGTTAAAAGATTAAATTATTCAGGTAATGATGTTGCAAAACTACAGTCAAATGCAGTGGAATTTGTCAAAATATCTAGACTGATTAATGGACAGTTAAGGTACATACTGAACATGTTAAGTGATGACAGTGATATTTATTCAGGTGTTTCATCTGCTGCAAATAATTTAACAGACTTACACCAACTACGAAACAAACGTAGTATTTCGAGTAAATTGCATTATTCCACAGAGTCTAAAGAATCCAGTGTACCAAATGCAACAATCAATACCATTTTAGTGGAGGATGACCAACATTTAACAAAATCAGATTCAAGTACAGAGAAAAGACCTCGTCGACGAAATCGGAAAAGACCGTTGAATAGGCCACCTAGAAAGCATAAGAAAAAGAGAAGACGAAACAGGAAACTACCATTTTGGTGGACGAGGCATGACAATAGGTTGCACGCGCAAGACTATGGGAAGATGTGCCAAAGGAAAACTTTAGTCGTAGATTTTGCTCAAATGGGATGGGACGACTGGATATTATCGCCCAAGTCATTCAATGCTTATTACTGTACTGGAGGATGTTCTTTCCCTTTAATTAAGGTAAGTATTTTTTTTTTTTTTTTTTTTTTTTTTTTTTTTTGTTGGGTGTGTGTGTGTGTGTGTGTTAATTGTAAATTGATTCGGGTATTATTTAGCTAATTTTTAACATAGAACTGACAATTTATTTCAGTAGAAATAGTAGAAAGAAAATGTTCATGTTCATATACAGAAGGTATTCACACATTGTGTTAACAATTTTAATGCAGTAAAACAATTAAATATGATATAAATATTACTTTTTAAGTACTTACTCTTGTAACCCTTTCATTTAACAGCCAATTTGTTCTCTAATTTTTACGATAAAAAAAGGTTCTCCTGCCCTTGGAATGTATTCCAACTTTGTTTATGTTACTTCTTATAGTCCAAAGCAAAATAGTCCGGTCGTTACATCAGAAGATTTTGCTGTGATGTACAAATGCTAAAGATCATATTATACCTTCTTTATAATAGTCTTTATAATAGTCTCTTTTTCTAATTTTGTCTAGAAATTTAGTCGTAAGTGTTGACGTGTAGCTTGAGGCTCTTCATTTACATTCTGTGGATAAAGAAACAGGATAGGAGTTTCATAATTCTGTCTTCTTTTATAATAATAATTTGGTAGCTTTTTGTTATAGTTATTCAAATATAGTTATGTTTCGTCTGTAATTATAACACCTTCCCATTTTTCATGCAAAAAATATTTCCATAAAGAATTCTACATCTGGTCTTACGCTTTGTCGCATGCCTTGAAAGATGTTGAAGTCTATATTTTGTCTTTTTTCTTTTTATAATATAAATTTTCGTTTATAATTTTATTCGAAGAGAAGATAGATATAAGATGATGATATTGCTCTTAGAGTAAAGCACCTTGTTTCAAAAATTATAGTTTTAATTCTGTAAGAGTTTCTGAAATAATGTATACTTTTTGATGTATACATTATTTTTTATGTATACATTACTTTATGCCTTGTTTCAAAAATTATAGATTTAATTCTGTACGAGTTTTTGAAATAATGTATACTTTTGGGGATAAGCATTTGATGATGTAATTTCTGAAATAAACTGTGATTGTCGATTTTTCTCCCTTCGTTATACACCATTAATTGTGCCTTTGTGTGCTTAGATTCCAAGATTCGTGCAACGTTTCTGAACTTGGGGAAATGAAAACGCAGTTTTCAGGAAAGGCAAAAACATATCCTTTTATGCGTAATTAATTCATATGAATCATTTTTTAACTTTACTACAGCTGATGATAAAGTTGTTGTTTGTTAATTTTTTATATTTCCCTATTCTAATACTTACTTAGTTAAAATGAGTCATTAAATATACGAACAACCTCTCTATTTGTATCTAATTAATTCTTTTTTAAGAATTATTAAAGTGGAAGATTACAAAGGCGGTAATATTACGTAGCAATTACATTTCAAACAAAAATTACATTTGTCTATTTGAACTGTTACTGAAGTTTCATGATTCAAGAGATTAGCGATGCTTAAGATAGCCTTTTTTATATGTTGTTTTTAATTCGAATTATTCAAAATCTCTACTAAATTGAGAACCAAATATTCTTCTGTATTATATTCACTGAGCTTTTGTATGTTTATTATTTTTTTCATGACGTTCGTCTTTTCCAAGCATTCTTAAAGTGACATTCTTCTTTGCTTATCGGTTATACCAGCAATTTTCCACTGCGTAAAGAGGTGCAAAATATTGAAAAATTATGCACATTTTAAGATAGATTTAAATAATACACATTATTTTAATTGAATACGCATTTTAAGCCTCTGTCAGATTTGCAAAGCACCTTCAATTGCGCCAAAGAAACATTTCCAGAGTTACCATCTTCACTCGGTCAATTCATCTGAACACCAAACAAAAATCTGCTACCATTTCAGTGACATTCATTTTCAAATTCCCTGTTGTATCGTTCAAATCATCAGTTGACATCAGCAGTTCTATAATTTATCATCAGTTGTAATCATCCATTCCTTGAAACACTGAGACATACTTCAGTACATTTTTTTTAACATTTAAACTTGATTCGTAATTATGGTAGAAAGCCTGAAAATGATGACCATTGAAAAGATTGGAGGCTTGTAAATGTACAATTTTCGGCATGGGCACTAAAAATATTGTCGAGTTGGAAATCCTCTCGAGACGTAGGCGACGGAGAAAGAGCGCTAAGAGAAATCTGAATCCCTTCCTTTTTACAGTGTTATCCATTACAATTTATAACACTGTAAATAATTGTAATTAGGCGCTACTTCCAATAGGGATGGAGCTGGAAAAATGTCGAATTGTCACTTATAAGGTTCTACGAAAATGTGGTGATATGATCCCGGACCTGACTGAGATATTTTTAGATCAGAACAAGGAACAACTTAAAAAAGAATGTTTTCATTTTTTAAATCATCATTTTTGATAAAACCACTTTTTAAGAAATCTGACATGAACTAATCTTTCTTACATTGCTTAAAATGACTCAAAAAGTTTTGTAATATGCCCGTTTAAGAGTTGTTGGGTTTCAGGACGGTAAACGAGCAAGAGTGTTAATTTAACATCACTAGCACTTCTTACGAGCATGATATTAACCTGTCGAAACTTGATAGTACAGCTCATGTGCTTCCAATTTCAGCTTCTTTCAGTTTTAATGATACTTTATAGCTCCGTCTTCATCAGTTCATTCATTCTGCAACTTGATATGTGGCAGTTTCTTCTTGTTTGTAATGACTGAACTAGACCTTGATTGCATCAAAAACTTTCATTTGAATTTTTTTAATTAATCGGGTCTTTTCCCCATGTCATATCTTGAGCACATAATCTGAGAAGCACTAAATTTCCTATTAATGTTCATATACATGGTGATTCTAACTTGTTTTTACAAATTAAATTAAGAAGGGTGATAATACTCAGCCAGATGAGCAATAATTACCATAGAACATAGTTTCGCATTCCACTCAGAGGCAGAAAAGAGGAATATTTGAATTTCAATAGGAACTTCCAACAGTGTTGGGAAAGCGAATGAACGAGACCGAAAATTGCACAATCAGTTTAGTGAAAAACTCACAGAGAGTACACAAAACGGATAAAATTGAAAACTTGGCTTTCGATTGTTAATTCGAGCTCAGACTTTGATGGCAAACATTCAAATGCACATCTTTGGTCGGTAAGGTCTCAACCTCGCAAACGATTGCAACGAGTTAATTATCTAAATTATTAGGGGGGGAACTGCTACCGTGATATCAAGTATCAAGATAGTTTTTTCCCCTTCGCCATCTTCTATCCTGTCTTCTTGCATTTAACTGTGCTGCGCTTATTCTACTTGAAGCGCCCTTTTATGGGACACGAAATTCTGACAGCCGGAACACAGCATGAAATTTTCATGCTAATCTCGGCATGCAGCAGAAGTTACTTGATAATATTCAGCCCTTGATTAGATAATTAACTTGTTGCAATCGTTTACGAGGTTGAGACCTTGCCAACCAAAAATGTGCATTTGAGTGTTTGCCTTCAAAGCCTGAGCTCGAATTAACACTCGAACGCCAATTTTTCGGTTTTATCCTTTTTGTGCACTCTCTGTGAGTTTTTCACTAAACTGATTGTGCCATTTTTGGTTTCGTTCATTCGCTCTCCCAACACTGTTGTAAGTTCAGGTTGCAATTCTAATATTCCTCTTTTCTGCCTCTCAGAGTGAAATGCGACCCTATGTTCTATAGCAATTAGTGGTCATCTGGATGAGTACTATCACCCCTCTTAGTTTGTAAAAGCAATTTAGAATCACCCTGTATATAAAGCAAACTTCATTTTCACAAATTTGAAAAATCCAGCTTCCAAAGTAATAGTTCAGAAAATAAGAATTCACGCAATGGATGTCTTTCGTATATCAACCGGTATTTGCTTCGCTGATTTCCCATTTCTCTAACCAATCCAAAAGCATATTTAAATATTTAATTCTTTGATCATTTACAGAATGTGTACATGGTTCCCAGTTTATGTTGCCCTGATGTAAGGATTTTACATTAACTATGTGCCGGCAAGTGCTTATAACTGGAGCATATTCAGCAGTTTGTTTCTAGTCCTGAATATTGTATACAGAACCAACAATACGAAAATCTTCAGCTACTTTCAAATTAAACAACTAAAGAGTTAAATTAACATTCTGTATTTCTAGATTGTCTGGATGCAATGACTGAGCACTCAGACTAGGAGCATATTTCACAATTATATTGTATTCAGTTTCAGGAAGTTTCGTTAAGCACAATAAAGATGCTGGTGTTTAAATTTCGGCAGATTTTGCTTCTGGTGTTACAGGAAAGTGTGGGAAATACATAGATTGCCCTAAATATTTTCTATTAAGCCTTGCGAACATATTTAAGTACATGTACACTGTCAGTTATATACAATAATGGGTGAATAGGGTCTATTGGATGTTGGTACACAATACTAATTTTTGGAGGATTGGCAAAATATGAAAGAGCTCGTCTGTTTACAGCTTAATGATCTGTAGCAACACGCACTAAACGAAAACCTAAATTTTCTAAATCTTTTATTACTTTTATTATATATCTATGCAAATACTGTGCTGATAATGTTTTTACTGGGTCAGTACACATAACATCTTTATATGAAGATCTACTACTCTGCAACATAAAGAAGCGGAATTAGCAGCTTTTCACACATCTTACATGGAGAAAAAATATATTATTTTCTTTAATCACAACTGTCAAGATTTTTAGACATGATAAGAGCTCATAGAAATTGCTGTAATTGTATTTCTTTTCAAAATCTTTCTCTTCTGCTGTGCATTTAGATATTGCAGCTTCAAGTTGCTCATTTTCTCTTCTCTTCTTCTTCTTCAGCGACTCTTCACGAAGTAATTTTATTAAAATATTTAAGGCAAGTACTGAAAATTGAGGGAACAACATTTTCTTTCGCACTTGTTTTAGCAAAACTTCTATTTTCTTTTACCCGCTTTTTCATTGTTGTACTCAGATACACGCTGAAATCTTTCTCACGGAAATGTAATTCACAGACCTAAACAGCAAATGTAAATCACTAATTTTAATGTAATAAACTCAGGATTTCTAGCAGCAATTTATTTCTGAACAGGACAGGTAATAGTAAGCGTATGTATGTTTATCTCCAAGACGGGAAGGGTGAAAGAAAAGGACTCTTACTGACGTAAGTCTCACTAATATTTGAATTTTCATGCATTATGAATTTAATTTTTTTCTTATTTTTTGAAAATTGCGCACACTATATTTAAATTTTAAAAACTCATAAACATGTTTATTGTTTTTACAGTTCCTTTATAGAAACTTCTAGTACAAATATATACTAAATATTAAATTAAGCACTTCCATTTTCTACTACATATCTATGAACCTTAAAGTTTCATGCTATAAAATAAATCAAAAAGGTCAAAAATTTGATATTTTAAAACGTAAGTGAATATTTAACAATCTCACTATTAAATACATAATTATACTAATATATGAATACTGTATGCAACATTATACATAATGTATACTATACGAACGAATTTCTATAATATTGTTGCGTGCGTACGGGTTCGTTATGAAATGAATGCACAAGTCCGATGAAAAATGAACAAAAATTTATTATTATCACAACAAAAATGCTTAAATTTTCTCAAATTATCATGCGTATTACAATATCTCACAGTAGTTATCTTTTAACTACTCAAATATCCAATAGAACGTAATTCAAAACACTAAAGACGCTAATCCGCGAATTCGCTACAATCACAAGAGCAGTTTTCTAAACAACAACAAACTAAGCAAGCAACTACTGCAAACTGAGATGTTTTCCTCCTTTAAAGATTTTAAATCACGCGCTAGATTTTCCAGTACTTTCTCGAAATCAAAAGAGATATTTATTTATTTAACGCACGCGCTCTTGTATTTTTAATTTTTCCGGCTTAGCTTTCTTTTAATATTCGTCACGCGAGAAATAAAACCATTTAATTTATAATTGAACTAACATTACCGTTTGAAATAGCAAATTCGTAACACTGCCCCCTTCCCAAGGACTGCACGTCCCGGGCAGTACAATCCCTGGACAGGAAGCTAAACTTACAACTGTGGCATAAATGCATTAATAAGCATTACATTACAATATTAAACAACATGAACAATAAATGCAATAAGTAAAACAAATCAAATGCTATCAAATACGAATCAAACACTAAATGCAAATCAAATACTAAATACAAATCAAATCAAATACACATTTAAAACAAAATGGACCATGGTCTTATACTATTACAATTATTTACATTACGTACTATGGCCATAGTAATGAGCTAACCTGTCGTAAGTTCGAAGACTCACGGATCCAAACCATGACGTCATTTAGCCTGTTTAGATGTGTGCGAACCATCCAAGGTGACGTAATCACCTGACTCCTTTTCGTCGAATCGGGTTCCACACCACACCTTGTCTCCTTCGTTGGATCTATTCCAGCAGCTCTCGTGTATCTGGTCTTCATCTTTCACTTCTCCGTCGCCAAGTTCCTCGCGCTTCGTGCGGAACGGTGCATCACTTCAAACGGGCCTTGACATCTTGGATGTGTTCCTCAGGCGATGAATGCGCATCCGTACGGCGATGAAACAGGCGGTCACAAGGCAGACGAAGGTCTCGACCGAAGAGCATCTGAGATGGAGAATACTGGTAGTCTGGTGTTTCTTTTCGACCCTAGCATAATTTCGGCTGTTTCTCGAGCTGGTTCTTTCGGACAAAGCGTCGGCATTTCCAGGTGAGGATCCCTTCTTAGGATGGATAGTCATGTCTTTAGATCCTGAAAGCAGTTTGTTGTTTTCAAGTCTAAGGAAAATTGTATTTCCTTAAAAAGTCCAATCCGAGTATGCATGGATCTGTAATATCCGCCACATATGCCGTGTGATGGTAGGCGGCACTTCCAAACGTGATATTACGTTTTTAACTTCCCAGTATGTCGATCTTGTCACCAGACGCAGTCTGAAGGGTAACACAGGATGGCGTCCAAATAAGTTTATCTTTAAACTGTTCAGCTAAATCTTTCCTAATGATGGTAACATTAGCTCCTGTGTCAATGATCATACTGCAAGGAACTCCATCGATATTCCATTGATGGACAGTCCGTTATTGTTGCCACTCATTGTATAAATTTTAAGAGCTTTAAAACAAGGTTTTTCACTATCTGGCAACCTCCGTTCCTCGATATGGTCACTAATTTGTTTACTGCGTTGTTGGCTGGGAAATGGTCTTATTTTCCGTACATCGGGTGTTCTGCAGTTTCTTCGTATGTGGGCCTTCAACTCCGCAGTTTTCCAGCACTTTAGAATTAGTTTCTTTTTCACTTCTGTTCCATCTCAAGCCACTGACTTGTCTGGTAAAATCATCTGTTTTATTTTCTGTTTCAGTTTTATTTTATTTTCTGCATTCTGTTTTATTATTATTCCTGGGGTGTTCTGCAATTCCGTCTTAGGTGATCTTCACTACCACATCTCCAATACCTTAGAGTCACTTTGTTCTCACTCCTACTCCATATCAAAGTGTCAATTTGTCTGGATAAATCATCTAAACGAACTATCAATTGATCCACTGGCTCGTGGATTCTCACAGCTCTGACTGGGTAGCAATCTGTACAAGTTGCTTGCTGACGGGCCTCGAACTTCACAGCATACAACAGAGCGCCTTTTTGTGTCCTTCACATCCGCCATTCGTATTTCAGGATCCCGGATGCTATCGATGAAGTATTGCAGCGACCGGATTTCCCTTGTTTCTGTCAGGCACTCCGAAAAGGCGAGATGGGACAGCCTTTCAACATCCGTGGCGAGCTCCTGAAGCGTTTCGGTGAGCTTCTGTTGACGAGATTTTATTGGAGCCTGCTGTAGTCTTTTAAACATTTCTCGCCGAAGCGCAGCTCCAAAGCGCCGGATAGAGCTTCGAAATCTAGCCTTGATTTTCGGGAAGCGTCTGC